ACAGAGGTCTCTAGTGAGATCTTCTGAAGTCATGCGGTCCTCTCCTGTCTCCACACTGGAGGGTCCCTGAGTCTACAGTGCTCAGGGACAGGAGGACCATGTCGGTCACCGTCACTGAGTGCTGACCCCGTGCCAGGCACAGAGCACGGGACCTCACGCGCCTTGTAACCCCACAGCAAGTCTTTGTTCCCCCTGCTTTGCAGACAAGAGAACCGAGGCTCAGAGAAACTAAGTGACTTTCCTAGGGTCACGCAGTTAGCAGAGTTGGTATTTAGGCCACGCTCTGCCTGAATCCAAAGAATTAACCCCCTCGCTACTCAGGGAAACCCTGGTCAGAGAGGAGAGATGTCCTGCAGAGCCTACGCCTGGCTCCAGCATCTTCTGAAGCAGAAAGTTCAGCACCAGGCCTGACCTGCTTGCTTCTAGGTCTGCCTGGCCCTGGCTCAGGTCAGTCCTGAGTAAGGAAGAAGGCCACCTGGTCAGCACCCTCCCCTCAGCGGTGCTCAGGCAGCCCTGCCTCCTCTGTGGGAAGAAGAGTCGAGACTTGTAATTGCCCACAGATGTGGGGCAGCGGAAAGCACCGTGGATTCAGAGTCAGGAGACCTGGCTCTTGCCCTGGCTCGTCTCAGATCCACTGTGTGGCCAACCTCAGGCCCCCACATCTTTCAGAACTGTGTCAGCATCTGGAAGGCTGTGGGTACCATGGGTAAACCACGACAGGTCTGGGATCGGTCGGCCGTGCATTAACCCCCAATTTGACTTTTGGCCGACTGCGTGACCCTAAGCCAGTGCTCTGCTTCTATTGGGTGTCAGTCCCCGATTCTGTGAGTGGCAGGGTAGGATGTGGGCTCCATGAAGTAACAGTGTAGGTAAGACGCTTAGCACAGTCCCCGCATTTCTTGGGCTGCACCTAATGCCATTGGCTCAGAGGGCCACTGTTCTCCCGCCTCCTGCACAGGTGGACTTGGCTGTGAAATTGGTCTGCATCCCACAAAGGACCATGACCACGGAAGAGACCTGGCCACCATGAGTATTCTAAAGGCCCCCTTCCATCCTCTAGACATAGTCTGGCTCTGAGGCCAGCTGCCTTCAGGCTGAAAGAGGATGCCCCGGGCGTTTTGCTCAGGACAGGCTGTTGAGTGTGGTACAGAGGGAGGACGGAATGAGAGGGTCCCCAGACATCCCTGAAATGTGCCCCCTGCCTATCCCATTTTTTTTATTTTCACATGGTTCTGGACCCTGCAGGCAGTGGACCCTTGGAATGGAGAGAGATCGTCTTCCACTGTTTTCCACATGCCCCCGCGCCCCCAGGGTCAGAGCTGTAGTGCCTCAGCTGGAAAGCAGTGCGTGCAGGATGATATAACAGGGACCAGCCCTTTCTCAGCACTTCCATTGTGCTTTACATCCATTACTGCAAAGTTCACTGCTGTATTCCTCAGCGCTTAGAACAGGCCTGGCATTCAGTAAGCGCTTAAATATTTGCTGAACTAATTTAATCATCGCAACAAACTCCAGCAGTAGTTATAAACTGTCTCTGTTTTACACATGAAGAAATGCCCAGAGAGGTTAAGTCAGTTGCCCAAAGTCTCACAGAAAGGAAATGGTGGAGCGGACACTTGCACCTGGGTGTTTCTGACCCCAGCACCCTGATGAAAGGCTGGGTGGGGCCGGGGCCACCTCTGGGGATCCAGCATAAGCTCTGAGAATGTGCCTCAGCTGTGGGGTCCCCTCAAAGTTCCAGAGGTGGTCATTAGACCCCGGAACCCATCTTGTGTGCCTGTGGGTGAGTCAGTCTGTCTCTGGGCCTCAGTTTTCCCGTTAGTAAAACAGGGAGGTTGAACGAGATCATCTCTGAGCTCCTTCCAGCCCTAAAACAATTCCAGGATTCCAGGCCACACCAGCCCAGATTGGCAGCCGCACAAGCCCTGTTGTGTACTCAGGGATCATGCATATTTAACTTCACAGCGAAAGGGTTTTTTTCTTACCCTTTTTCTACACACTACACAAAGCAGTCAGGATCGATGACCACTAATGGAAAACTTACCTGCAATAACGAGGAGGAACTTTCTGACAATTAGAGTGGCCTGTTAATGCACCCAGTTTCTCAGGGAGCACCAAGGGCTTGTTCCCACACAGCCCATGTGCCCATTTTCCTGGGATATTGAGGAAGAAGGGTCGGGAGCTGTGCCTGTCAGGAAGTGTGTGTAGATACTGTGATCCTCGAAGTCTCTTCCAATGCTGACTTTTTAAACCTCATATGCTCTGATTCAAGAGGAAGCAAGGCTTTGGCCGAAGGTAGACTGACGAAAGATGTGGTCCAGAGGTGAGGGAGTGGGTGCAGAGACCCTCCTCTAGTGGGAGGGGCGTGGAACTCACACTCTGTTGCTGCCAGGGTAGCAGCCCACCTCAAACCCCTCCCAAGACTTCAGGCCCAGAGCCCTTAGGCAAAAGCCGCTGGCCCCAGGACACCCCGTTCTCAGATGCTTTCTGGGCACCCCGCCCCCAGCATAATGCAGGAGGTTGAAAATCAAAGTGTATCGCTTTAGCTACATTAATACCCTCTCTTCTCCTTGCTTCAGATCAGGGCTATTTGATGTCTCGGGTGCCCAAAACCTTTCATCTGCCAGAAGGACCAGCTTCGCCGTCCTGTGATGGAAAGTGTTGTCCCTTAGGAAGTGGGGGCAGCATGGCCAGGGGGTCAGACAGTTCCCGAAGGTCAGAGACGAAAGGACTTTGGGGGCCACTGGGTTCAACTTCCTTATTGTGTGGGTGGGAAATTGCGGCCCAGAGAGGGGGAGGATGTACCTCAGGTTGTACAGATCACCAGCGATGGCACTGAGCCTGGGACCCGGCCTGCGGGCCTGGCCTTTCCTGTATGCACCACGTGTGCTGCATCTTCACCCACCTATGTCGTCCAGGGCTCAGCTCCAGCTCTCCCTGAGGTGAGGCCACAGGTGGGCTGAAGAGGTGCTATGCCATCCCACTAAGGGATGGGAACTCTCCTGGGTAGTTTTATGGACCACGGAGCCTTTGGTCGTGTTGCTTCTCCATTCTGGCCATAATTTCCTTTTATGTAAAGGTGGGCAGACAAGGGAAGAGCTCAGGGACCCCAGAGGTCCCATCATGCTCTGTCCTTAGCCTCTGAGAGCCCCTGCCAGGCACAGAGAGATAGATAAACATACTGGTGGATGGATGGATGGATGGATGGATGGACGGATGGATGGACAGATGGATAGATGGCCTCCCCTTTAGTCTAGGGAGCCAGGGTGACTTCATGAACATTTAACCCATGCAGTCACAGAGGCCTCCATGTTTAGAAGGGCCCTGCGCTTGAAATCCTTAATTATTTTTTAACAGGGGGCCCTGTGTTTTCACTTTGCACTTGGCTTCACAAATTGTATAGCTGGCTGCCGGGGAGTTCAGGCTGGGTTTGAGATGGCTTCATCCCCAAACTGATCTTGCTGCTTCCACTGTCCCCATTCTAATCCACACTCTCCCACAAAATGCCAGCCTGCTCCTGTCACTCTCCTTAGTGGAGGCCCCCACCGCAGAAGTGCTTAGAGTTGCACTATCATCACTGCCCCCACCTTCACTATCAGTGCCCTGAAATTGGCTTCCTGGTGCCTCAAGGCAAGCCCAAATTCGTACCCAGCACTCCAAATCTTTCCCAAAGTGACCTCTGCTCCACTTCCCTGCCCAGCACCTACCTATTTGCTGAAGAGCCCTAATTTCTAGAGCACTCACAAGTCTCTACCATTTCTCCCAGACACCTTGAGATCTCCCGCTTCCCTGACTGCTCACACAGAGCCCCTGTGGAATACCTTTCCTTGGCACCATCCACCAGAGGACCCAACAAAACCTGAAGGCCTAGCTCAAGGCCACCCGCCCCCACCTTTGGAATAATCACATAATCATAAGAGTTACCATTTACTGAGCATCTGCTATGTGTCGGGTGCATTTGATCATCATCTCTAACCTTTGCAGCAATGGAAAAGGGCTTTTTATGCCATTTTCTAGGAAACTGAGACTCAGAGAAATTAAACTCAGAGCTCACACAATTGTGAGAGAGTAGGAAATGGTACTTGGACCTGGATTAAGTGGCTTCAAGCTGGCACTGCTGCCCCAGACCTGGCTGGGATCCTATGCACTTTTAGTGCCCTGGGCGGCATTAGGCACAATGTGCTGGCATCAAGATTTTATTTGTCCATTTTGCCCCCTCATCAGCCTGTCCCATCACCTCCCTGGAAGGGAAGGGTCACCATTGCCTATCCATCCCAGTTCCCCAGCCTGGTGAGTTATTAGGGGGCAGTGGATGCCCCAGGGCTGAGGACCAGGAGAGCTGACCCTACGTACCGTTTGACCCCTCATGCTGTGTAAGCATCTATTGAGCACCTACTGTAAACCTAATCTCCAATTAGGCACTTGGAGATATCCCAAAAAATTGTTAGGTGGGTTTCCTCATTTGTGGGAAATGAAATTAAGAGACTAAGACAAAAGTACAGGAAAGAGTTCGTTGACAAAGAGTGGACTGAGGGTCATTAGACTTAGGTTCTGGTCCTGGGTGGGCCTCTATCTCCCTTAATATGCTAGAGGGAGACACCCTGCCCCCACCCCAGCTGAGCCTGATGATAACACCAATGACAATAGCAGCACCCCTTCCTGAGGAGCCCTTCTGGGGAGGGGCTTTCCCGCCATCTCATTGATCACACGCATCCCTTTGCTGACAAGCCGAGCCTAGCAGGGTCTCAGCTGTGTACTCCAAGCCAAGTGAGTGAGTGAGTGAGTGACTTACTCTCCCATGAGTGAATGAAGAATAATAATAACGTGACTACTGACTTAGCAGAGGGCTGTGTGCCAGCCCCTGCTCTAAGCATTTTACTTGTATTAACTCATTTGAAGGCCTTGATGAACCCTGACTTACAAATGGGAAAACCAAGCCACAGAGAAGGTGAGTTATAATATATGGGACAATCGGGGGTTGAGGGAGGAGGTGGATGACTGAAGAACTGGGTGCAGGAGCAGACGATGAGAAAGCGAGAGAGAAACGAAACACGGGAGCTTTCTCCCCTTCTGCTCTGCTGCCCAGGAGGGCTCTGAGGGGAATCTCAATGCTCCGTAATTGGCACCAATTAATAGCTAGCTACCCCAGCTTGGTTCGCCTGCTCTGGTCTGGTGGGGGAAGGCCGTGTGCTGGTGGGTCAGTACCAACGGCCCGAGGCCTGCCTGCCCCTGCCCACTTGGCTCTGAGAACCCATTCTATTTGTGGACCAGCCCAGGGCTGATCTGGGGCTGGCAGCAGCCTGGGGAACAGAAGGTTTGCTTGTCTACGCCTGTTGCACCCCCACCTCCCCAGCCTCAGCCTGGGACCCCTCTCGGGGGCTCCTTTGGCTGCCAGGGCCTGGTGTTCTTCGTTGCCATGGCACCGCCGGAGATGAGGCTCTGGGGGGTGGGGTGTGAGGCAGGGCAGTAGAGGGATGGTGGAGGCCTGGAACTCTGTAGCTGCAGAGGCCCAGGCCCTCTGTGAACAGTGGAAGGGGGTGCTGGGGCCCCATCAGGGGCTGGCCTGGACCCTGAGCACAGTAGACCTATGGCAGAGCTGGTCACACGCCTAGCCCAACTGCCTGGATTCTCCATCTCAGAGGCCCCTGGGACAGGTCTCCAGGCAGGCCAGAGCCCCTGCTTGGACACTGCCCCTACCAGACACAGGTTGTCCTCTGTAAGGACTTCTCTCCTCAAACTATGTGCCAACCTTCAGGTTCTACAGCAAAGTTGCAGAATGGTTTTGAGTTCTAATCCTGCCTAGGTGGCCCCTTGGTCACTCTGCACCTCAGTGAGGGGAGGGACAGGACTCTGACTTCTGAGGATCCTTCTATCCCTGAGAGCCTGGATTCTGCATGGACCCCAGTAGGGTGAGCCCATGTGGGAGTGTTTCTCTGAACAGACCTACTTCTGGGCAGGAGATAAGCAGTCTAGCATGGAGGTTAAGAATGCAAATTTGGAGTCAGACAGGCTTGAGTTTGCATCCCAGCTTCATTGCTTATTAGTTGTGTGAGCTTGGACAAGTTACCAAACCTCTCTGAGACTCAGTTTCCTTTTCTGTGAAATGAGAATAATGATTATACCCACCTCACAGGATTGTGGTGAAGATAAAACAAACCCCCCAGGTCATCTCATTTAGTAGAGTGCCTGGTTCCAAATTAGGAGGGGCTTTTGTTTGTTTTCAGATTATGGGGCATCAGAACAATGAATGAGAAGAAGAATGTCCTGGGATGGGGGATGGTTGGTGGAAAGAAGCAGGACCAATGAGTAGAGGATACATTGGGACAGATTACACTCAATGTAATAAAAGTTTTCAAATAGCCTAACCTCTGAGGATCCTGAGCTGGCCAAGAATGGGATGGGCCGCTGGTGAGGTGGTGAGATCTCTGTCATGGGAGGTGTGCAATTGTAGCTTTTGTTTGCAGAGAGGGTGAGGGAAATATGAATAGAGAATATCTCCTAAGATTGTAGGGCTCTATGAAAGTCAGGTTCATCCAGCTGAAAGGAGAGCATGGACCAAAAGGGGAGGTCAGACAACAGAGTGGAAGAACAAGGCTGGTGAGTTATGTATTGAGCTTGTATTGTGTGCCAGGCACAGACTTGTCATCTTTGCCTCCTGCCTTAGAGAAGCTGTCACCTGAGTATTGAGCCTGTGTGCTTTGGGATCAGTCTACTCGGGTCTGGGGTCAGTCTGCCCAGGTTTAAGCACTGGCTCCATCACTGGCAAGCTCCGTGACCTTAGACAAATGATTTAACCTCTCAATGCCTCACTTTCTTCACTGTAAAATGGAGAAGCAACACTGACCTCATGGATTGCTCTGAGATCATGCACATAAAGAGCTTAGCCCAGGCGGTGGGCGATATGAACTAAATCACAGGTAGCTATTATCATTCTTGTGGTCATTTTCAAGGCCTTTTAAGTCCTTGTTCTTTTTGGAAGGGGCTGTTAGGGGCCCAGATGGGATTCAGAGGACTCTGGTCTGGGAATCCACTGACAGGCCATATGGCCTGGAAGGTGATGTGGGGACGAGCAGGGAGGCCAGCGAGGTGCCTGAGGAGGCAGGAAGTGCTTGCTCCACAGGCGGGTGAACAAGGGCATGCAGCTGGCCTCCCTCCCTCACTGACCTCCTTCTCAGGCCGGTTCCCAGCCTGTGCGGGGACCCGGGTCCCCTCCTCTGGGCCCCCAGCGGCCTGAGGCACACACTGAGTGCTTTCCCACGAACCGTTCCAAGTAGCTGGGCCTGCAGGGTCCCCTACCCCCAAGTGCTCACACTCTGGCGGGTGAGGGGGCGTGAGGCAGGAGAGGGGATCAGCTCGTTCTTTATCAGCCTGGCTCCGATCCAGACAGATGTTTCGTTTTATTTTGAACTTCCAGAAAATAGGTCATTTCTTTCCATTGTATCCCTGGGGAGGCCTCCTGGGGAGAGGAGCACAGAGTGAGTGACGAGTGTGGGGGCCTCACACGGGCCCTGGGGATCAGGGAGGGCAGCAACCTCCCTCCCCCAGTTATGATGAGCTGTCTGCAGGGCCAGGGCATGAAGCTCTTGAAGGTTCTTAAAGGCCAGGCTAAGAAGCGGGTCTCTATAGTAGCCTCCCCCTGCCATCTGAGGGAGGTGCATTCCAAGCCTTCAAGTGGATGCTTGAAACTTTGGATGGTACCGAACCCTACATATCCTATATCTTTTCCTATACATACGTATCTATGATAAAGCTTAATTTATAAATTAGGCACAATAAGAGATTAGCAACAATAACTGATAATAAAACAGAACAATTATAACAATATACTGTTAATAAAAGTTATGTGACCGTGGTCTCTCTCTGATAACAGATCTGATAACTGAGACAACTACTAAGTGACTAACGGACTAGTAGATACCCTGGACAGAGGGGTGATTCACGTCTTGGGTGGGATGGAGGGGGATTTTGCAAGATTTTATCACGCTATGTAGAACAGTGCACAATTTAAAACTTATGAATTGTTTATTTCTGGAATTTTCCATTTAATAGTTTCAGACTGGGGGTAACAAACCATGGAAAGCAAAAGCAAAACTGAAAGTAGGGGGGACTACTGTACCTAGGGATGGTGGATGAAGAGCCACAGAAGCGCGTTGTCAGACAGGTATTTCAGATCAGAGAGTTTGGGGTATGAGAACAGCTGGGAGGACAGACCATTGGTGAGGCGATGTGAGGAAGGGTACAGAGGGGCAGCTAGAGGTGACCAAGCTTGTGCTGGAGTGGCAGAGGTGGGTGGATCAGAATGATGGTCCATGGAAGTGGCACTGTTCTCCTACCCATTGGGACTTCTAGAACAGCCAGAGCCTGTGCCAGGCCCTAACTTAGTCAATTTCTGTTATTTTGTTTGGGGCGGGCGGTGCTCACAGATACCTTGAAAACATGAAGGTCCTCTGCTTCTAGAGGCAGCACGGCAGAGAGTCGAGCTCGGGCGATCAAGCTGCATCTCTGTGATTTGGACCAAGTTCCTCACCCACTTCCCTCTCTGGCCTCAGTGTGATCCTGAGGCTTGTGGGGAGATTCATTTCGTCACGGTGGAATACTGAGCCTTTCCCAACAGATAGAAGTGTGGGGCACAGGCTTGAGGGGGGCAGGTAGGAGCCTCATATCCTCAACCTCTTCCCAGGTTTGTACCTCACCTATAACCATCTCCCTGCCCAGCGGACTCTGCTTTCTTGCCTCGCTCCCGTGCTGCGAGATCCCACCTACATCTCAGCCCACTTGGGATAAGGCCACAGTGGCCACACTCTCGGCTACATCCAGCCTGTGCTGCCCTCACTCCCGTACTCTCCCAGCTGCCGGAGGGAGGACTCAATCTCTGGCTCCAGATGCCTCTTGCCCCCACATACTCCCAGGCCTGGAGCTGGCTGCCTTCTCGGAGCTGAGTCATGATATCCTGGCCAGGGCCCCTCCCCAGCACCCCGCCACCACCCCAGCGTTCCAACTCAACACAGCTGCCTCCCAGAGCAGAGTCCTGAGAGCACAGCATGTCAGCACTGGACATGGTCCCAGGATAGCTCCGCCCGCCCTGTGTACAGATTGGGAAACCGAGGCTCGGAAAGGGCCAGGACTGTACTACAGGTGGGTGACAGAGCAGGAGCTAGAATTTATATCCCCTTACTCTCAGCCAGGGACTTGTCTCCTAAAGTTTGTCCAAGGGCTGTGAAGTGCCCCTGGTGTGGAAGAGAGATGACTAGACTACGGGTCGGAAGACCTGAGTCTGCGTCCCATTCTGCCAGCAAATTAACAAGTCGTTCCTCATTTCAAGACTCAGTCTCCAGTCCCTGCCTGGCTGGGACAGTGCAGGGAAAGGACTTTGATATAAAGGTCTATGTATAGCAGGGCGGGGGTGGGCATGGGGAGGGCGTCCTGTGGAGAGGGAGGGGGCAGCAGCTGTCCTCCGAATCCTGGGACCTCGAGCCACTAGACTCACATCTGAAGCAGGGCTGCTGGTCAGGTGAGCATCAGTCTCCACTGGCCACCTGAGTCCAGCTTGCCTAAGTCAAAACACCGGGACCTGTCCCTGTCCCTCGCTAAGTCTGTTTCCTCATCTGTACAATGGGGCAGAGGAAGCGGTTTGGATGAGGTAGATCATCCCTGAGGGCTATGGAGCTCTGACATTCCAAGGCTAACCCCGGGACCCCACGGCCAGGTGCCCTCCTCTCTCTGGTATCTTGTTTATTCAGAGCATCCCTGGCTGGAGAGTGAAGACTGAGGCCGCCTGGCCAAGTACCCGCCTCTTCCTCGAAGCAGGGCTTCCTCCCATCCTCATCTCGCTGCTATGTTTCCCTCCCATCCCCATCTTCCTGCCTCCAGACCGAATGTGTCTCTGTCCCCTCAGGTGCCCGCAGCCCCTCACACCCCGAACCAGCTCAGTGACAGCTCTTCATCCTGCTTCTCTGCCTTATTTTCATCTCAGAAAATGGCACTGCCCCCAGCATACGCACACCAAGCCAGGAATAGGGGTGGGGCTCCTTTACGCTACCTCTCTCTTCCTCCCCCTAACATCTCATCACCAGGCCCTGTTGTTCTCAGCTAGATAAACCTCAAACCCATCTGTTTCTATCAGTCTTCACCGCCCTCTCCTCGGCTCAAACCGAGTAAACAGAAGTGGCGGCTGGCACTCCACCTTGCCTCAATCTCTGCTCCCTGTCGCTAGGCAAGTTTCCTAAGTGCTCTCTGCCTTAGTTTCCCCATCTAAAATGGGGATGATCGTATCTACCCCATAGAGTTGACTGAGGAGCAAGCGAGTGAATACATGTCGACTGCTTAGAACAGCACACCACGTGCTGGTTTTGGGGCCTGGCTCTATGCACATATGGATGTGCATTCCGGGGGAGTTGAGGTCCCATGTGCACATGCTCTGTGTGTGTGTTACGCACACACACAGCTTTGTTTTTCCTGGGCATTTGCGAATTGACACATGTATGCATGTCACATGGGTATGGTGGAGAGCACGCAGGCAGCAGTTTGCGGTGCGTGATGTGGGCTGGGCACAGTGGGAGCTGCGTGTATGTGTGCTTTGTGTGGGTCTGCACATGTCGAGTGCCTGTGTGAGGGCCAGGCGCATACATGGCCCGCTGCACACGGATGTGTTTCAGAGCAGTGTGTGAGCGCGCGCGTAGGCAGGAGTCTGTGCTGTGTGTGCACGTGCTCACTGTGTGCAGGCCTCCCCCACTGGCAGCCACGCAGGCCCCCCTCCCTGGCCTGCCTGTGCCGTGGGAGCCGCAGGACCCCGAGGGAGGGGAGCTGCTGCAGGCGGATGTGGCCAAGATGAACTGGATTTATTTAGATTAAGGCGGTGGGAAAGGAATGGAGACTTGTATGTGCTGGAAGGAGGGAAGGCTGGGGCTCTGAGAAAGCCTCCCCCAAAACGCTTGCTCCCTTGGACTTGGGGTCCTCACTCTGCTCCCCCAAAGGGATCCCTCTGATTCACTGTGAGGAGCTGAGCAATTATCCCATCTTTGGACCTCTGTCCCCCAAACCCAGCCAAAATAGGAGGAATCACGAAGGCTTCCTGGACAAAGGCCGGGGGTGTTCCTGAGGGTTGCCTCCCTCTTTATCAGGGGCCTCCCTGGGCAGGAGAGTATGGTAGGTAGGGGAGTGCCCGTTCTCGACTGTGACATCTACCTTGTCCCAGGTGGCTCCTTCCTGGAGCTCAGCCCTACCCCTGAAGAAGGAAAGTGGTCGCAAGTAAGCCCACCACCCCCCAATCAGCTGCCTGGGACCCTCTGGGGTTGATGGGATCCATGGCAGCCTCTGGAAAGCTCGAAGAGGTCCGCAAGACATTGAGTGGACAGCTGGGTGTGTCAGGGACTCATCCGAGAGGGCTTAAGAGATCCTGTCTGGGTGCCCCAGGCCGCACTCTGATTCTTCCCTGTCCTGTGGCCCTTTCCCTGCCACCTCCTGGATTGCCGAATCGCCAGTTTATCTGTCTGAAAGGCACCTGAAAAACCGAGAGAAACAACTTGTCAGACTCCACACAGCGAGTCTGTGACCGAATGATTGGGGAAATTCAATCCATGGAGTGAGAGAGGTTATGGATTCTCACATGACTCCAGGCTCGGGAACGTAGCCCCCTCCTTCTCATCAGTCCCCACCTCCCCAAACTGCCCCAGCAAGAGTCATAGTGACTAGAGCCTTCTCCTGGCAGTTTTAGACTAGGATGGCTCTTTGAGATGACCCATCTACACCTCTCCCTGTATGGATGGGGACACAAGAGTCCCTGAGAGGGCTGGAGACTTGCTCAGTCTCAAGGTGCATTGGAGGCCTCTTGTGACCAGAGACAAAACGCTCATTTCATAAAGAGAGAAGCCGGTCCAAGATCCCTGGGGCGTCTACACGCTGCCTAAGGTGTCTACACTCCCCCTGAGCTCCTTTGCCCACCTATCCTCTCCGCATAGCCTGCTTCTGCCTCTTTGCTGTGTGACCGACTGGGCCATGATTCTGTCCATCTCTGGGCTTCTGCTGCCTGTTCAAGAAGACCCCTTCCAGATGAGAGTCTCAGAGACTCCAAGCCGCCTCCAGCCCCAGGCCCAGCAGGAGAGGAGCCAGGGTCAGGGGCTGCTCATGCAGGGGGCCCAGCCCACACTGCCCAGCCTTCCAAAGCCAGGCCAGCCCCAGTTGCAGTGACCTCCCATCTCCAGGCCAGCCGACCAAATTCCTCCTTTAGAATAATAAACAGTGTGGCCAGCCAGGGAGGCTGGGAGGGGCGGGGCAGGGAGACTGAAATGCCCCCCTCCCCCAGCCTCTGCTGCTAATGATTTTCTTTGGCTGAGATGTCTGGCAGGAAGGGGGGAGTCAGAGGGGCACCCACCAAGGGGCAGATGGGCCTCTGTGGGGGCTGCTGGCTCCACCATGGCGCTGCTCCCTCCTTCTGGAGGAGGCCTGGCATCCAGCTGGAGGGGCTGAGGCAGGAGATATGGAGAGGGAGGGGGTCTCAGAAAGGCTGGGCTTTTAGTCTGGAGCAATTGGGAGAGGGGAGAGGGGAGAAAGGAGGGAACCCTCAGGCAGGCTCATCTGAGGGGACGGGGAGAAGGAGGAGGAGAAGAGCAGATTCACTCAGAGAGCTTATTGGGGTACTGGGCAGGGCTGAGACTGGGGGTCCACAGGCCAGGAGCCTCACCTCTGTCCCACCACTAAGGTGTAAATGCAGTAAGTGGTACACTCAGGATCATCCCATTTTGAGAGCTGGAGACCGAGGCCGCAGAGATAGTGATGGCACAGGAGGTAGCTCTGCTAGGGGTCAAACCCAAACTGCAGGCTTGGACTGGAAACTAAAAAGGGTGAGGTGGGGTGTGTGTGTGTGCAGTGGGGGTGACACGGGCATGGCCTGAGGAGCAGGCCAGACTGGGCAGCCTCTCAGTGAAGTCAGCAGACACACAGCACTGGGAGGCTCCTTGTTGCCTTGTCACGTGGTGACTTCCCACATTTCTTGCTCTGCGACTCCCACCCACTTCAGGTCTCCTTCCCATCCATGCTGCAGGCAGACCCTTGCAAGCCTGGCTATTGGTGGTTATTTGGGATCCTCGGATGGGGCGACCACGGGCAGGGATGGAACGAAGGCTCACCCAGTTCAACCTATCTTTCAGTGCTTCCAACGCTGTTTCTCTTTCTCCGTCTCTCTGTGTCTTTGTCTCTCTCTACCTCTACCAGTCTCTGTCTCTCTTTCAGACTCTGTTCTGTAACCTCGGGTAAACTTCTTTTCCCCTCAGAGCCTCGATTTCCCCATCTGGACACTGGGGGGTGGGGATTGGATTCAGTAGTCTCCAAGGACCTTCTAAGGCTTGCTGTACAGTGGGGCCTCCCCTGGGCCCAGCCCCTGGCCCCTCTCCCCTGGGCCTCTCTGTGTATCTCAGGGCTGAGTAAAGGGGGTCAGGCATGGGGGTGCCCCCCACATTCCACAGCCCTGACTCCCCCGCTTCCCTTCCCACAGCCGCCTCCACTTCCTGTTGTGCTTGTGGAGCTGTGGGAGTCCTCTGGGTTCTGGCGTACCCCCACCTTCTACCCCAGCCCTTTCATCACGCTTTCCCAAATATTTGTCCTGGCAGATAAGAGCCTGGTATTGGAACTGTCACCCGGAGGACAGGCTGTTAGTGCTGGCGGGACCCTGGACAGCATCCAGCCCACGTTCCCCACCCCCACTGTACATGCAGAGAAACTAAGGCCCAGAGAGAGGCCAGGGTTCAGCCAGGGTTACCAGAGTGGTAGAGGCAGAGTCAAAGCACGGTCCAGGCTCCTTGAGGCTGAGCCCAATGTAGGGGAAGGGGACGCGTGGGCATGATGGCCTTCTCAGCTGTGGGACGCGGGTGGCCTTTGACTTGGGCTGCATAGAATATGGAGGTTGGGTGGCCCGGGCTGGGGCTTACTCTGCAGGACCCAGGTGTGAAGATGGGCCCTGGGCCCTGACCCCTGTTTAACTTTGCAGGATACCATGCTGCTTCTGAGTGCCATGCCAGCTCCTGTCCTCAAAGGTAGGTAGACTGGGGCAGGGGTAGGGGGACCCAGGGAGGCACTGAGCAGGACCCTGGAGCTGGTGGGAGTAGTGCATGCTAGCACCAGGGCCTGGGAGAACTGCTGTTCTCCTGAGCTTCAATGTCCTGCCTTTCCAGTGAGTCTCAGTGGAGGTTGCCTTCCACCACCCATCCCTCAGCTCACAAACCTCAGTGGAGCCTCTGCTTGTCCAGAGCCATCCGCTCAAATCCTTTGCTTGGCCCTCCACACTCCATGCCCCGCCACCAGCTGTCCTCGCCCCGCTCACTAACAGTCACCCCGGCCTCCCATATCTTCTCAGCACTTGCTAGTATCAGTCTGTCCAGTCAGCTTCTGGTCTGGGACTCCTCTCCCCTGCCTGGACCCCTCATTGGCTGTGAGCTCCCAAGTCCTGGCTGGGCTTCTCTCAGCCCAGTCTTCCCTCGCTCTTGCCTGTTACTTGCACTGGGCTCTCCAGGGGCTGGGCAGCTGACTAGCCAATCAGCGGGCATTGGCAATCAATGACCAGGCAATCACTTATCTGAGGGTGAGGGATTGGCTCGCCAAGTCTGGGGTGGGTGCGGGGGATGGGGGGTGGCGGGCGAGGCGGGAGGGGGCTACAGAATCTTTCTCCAGGGAATGTCAGTAGGAGATGAGGAACCAATCACTTGACAATCCCCCAGCCCCAGGCCCCTTGAGTTCCCCAGGGGCCTCAGCACCTCTCCTGCCCCAGTCTGCCCCATTCTGAGCTGCCTCGCCCCACCCTCCACAAGCAGGGCCACCTCTGGGCTTTGGGCGGAACCTGGGCAGCTGTGGCAGCTGTAGGGAAGAGGCCCAGAAAGTGACCTGGGAAATAATGCAGGAACTGGAAGCTGGGAATTGCTTCCCGAGGATTTCCTGACATCTTTGTAAGAACATGCCCACAGCCCGAACGCTGCACTACTGAAGGACTTCATGGCTGGGGTTCTAAAGGCACTGAGATGAGGAGGCCAGGAGGCCCGAAGGAGTCCCTGGGAACCGAGTACTGAACAAGCAGGCCTCAGAACCATGAGTTCCAGCCTATGTGTGGATTAGGGCGGCGTGTTTTCAAGGGCTGTGATTAAATAGCCTCCCCCAGGGTCGGCTTTGGGGAGAGGCGAGGGGGCTCCTGTGCTCTGACGTCTGATGCCTCCTCTCCCAAAGGCCAGGTGCTGTTGCTGCCCCTGCTGCTGTTGCTGGGACCACAGGTCTCCCAAGGTCTGGTCATCACACCCTCAGAGCCAGAGATCATCCTCAATGTCTCCAGCACCTTCGTTCTGACCTGCTCGGGTCCAGCTCCAGTGATGTGGAAACGGATGATGCCCAAGCAGCTCCCGCAAGAACTGACTGAGACTCAGGATGGCAACTTCTCCAGCATACTGACGCTGACCAATGTCAATGGGTCTGACACAGGAGAATACTTTTGTACCTACAATGACTCCCATGGGCTGGAGGATGGTGAGCAAAAGCGGCTCTATATCTTTGTGCCAGGTAAGACCCCTGATCTGTGCGCTCACTCCCTCGCTCCTCTTCTCAACTGCAGGCATCTGGGGAAGCGCAGAGAGTGCTTTAGTGATATCGTGAAATACGGCCAGCTCAGAAATGCAGACAAATCATGGAACCCAGCCTGGCTCAGTCCAGGAGTATCACTTCCACCCTTTGGTCTGAATATTTATCTGCTCCCTGCCAGCCCACCCCATTCCTGGCTCCCAAGAACTCTGCGTTCTCAGCTGGTTCCAATACGTTCCCTCTTAGCCTCCACATCTCATCTTCCCCATTCTCCAAGCTCTGCGTACCAGTTGCCCTTCAACTTGAGGCTTATCTTCTTTCCTGCTCTGGTGCTGTCCAAATCAAATGTTAAAGCTAAAAGGCACCTCTGAGATCATCCATATTCTGTAATGGGAGGACCAAGGGCCAGACAGGGGAAGAGGCCTGCTCAAGGTCACATAGTAATTAGGGAGATGGCCGGAAACCCAGCTCCCTCTGACTCTCATTCTTGCCCCACCCTTGGCAGATCCCAACATGGGCTTTCTCCCTGTGTACCCCGAGGAAGTGTTCATCTTTCTCACGGAAGTAACTGAGATCACAATTCCATGCCGAGTGACAGATCCACAACTGGTGGTGACACTGCATGAGAAGAAAGTGGATGTCCCACTGCCTTTCCCCTATGACCACCAACGTGGCTTCTCTGGGACCTTTGAGGACAAGACCTATGTCTGCAAAACCATCATCGGGGACAAAGAGGTGGATTCCGAAGCCTACTATGTCTACAGCCTCCAGGGTGAGCTCCCTTTCTGGGCTGATGTTCAGCAGAGGCAAGTATGACCCTTCACTGAGCCCTTTCCAATTTAGAGTGTGCAACTCCATTGTTCACTGGATTCTCATTACACTGTTGGAAGGCAAGTCATGTTCCCCCATTTTACAGATGAGGAAACTGAGGCCCAGAAAGACGATGGAGTTTGCCCAAGGTCATGGGATGCTTTAGTGGCAGAGCTGGGCTGTATACTATGTTCGGCAAAGGCACAGCCTTTAGAGCCTGCTAGATGTGAGTCCCAGCTCTGCCACTTCCCACCAAATGGCTTCATACAAGGCATCTCTCTGAGCCCGCTTCTTCTGCCGTAAAATAGGAATAATGAGTGCCTACTTCATGAGATTATTGTGAAGATTAAATAAAACAGAAGATGGGGGGTATCTGGTACACAGTTATGCTCAATAAATTTTCCCTGTATTTAGATGCCCAGAGAGTACTTTTGATTTCCAGACTGTTATTCCTTCTGGAATGTCAGCTCCATGAGGACAGAAATTTCGTTTGTTGTATTTACTGCTAAAGCCCCAGTACCTAGAGTAGTACTTGGCATACAGTAGATATTTAATAAATATTTGTTGAATAAATGAATCTTCCACACCAATCATCCCTTCCCTCTGTGGACCTTGACCCCACCCCCAAGCTGAGGTGCCTAAGCCCTAAGCTAGTCTCTCTCCACCAGCGTCATCCATCAACATCTCAATGAATGCAGTGCAGACTGTGGTCCGCCAGGGTGAGAACATCACCATCACGTGCATCGTGACTGGGAATGAGGTGGTCAACTTTGAGTGGATTTACCCCCGCAAGGAGGTAATGCCGGGCCAGGGCCTGGAGGAAGGGCAGGCAGGATGTACATCTCGACTTGCAGCCTGACTTCTTGGCCCCTTCCTGATTTGGGAAACTTGCCCCACGTGTCCCTACAGAGTGGGCGGCTGGTGGAGCCAGTGACCGACTTCGATACGCCCTCTCACATACGCTCCATCCTGCACATCCCCAGTGTCGAGCTGGGTGACTCAGGGACCTATATCTGCAATGTATCAGAGAGTGTGTACGACCATGGAGATGAAAAGGCCATCAATGTCACCGTGGTTGGTGCGTGACTTGGGCTCAGCCCCAACCCTCCTTCTGAGCTGGATCCACACCCTGTCACAGCCCTGGGATGCCGTCAGCCACATTTCAGTCCAGCTCTAGCCACAGTGCCAACCAAAGTTCTATTTCCAGGATAAACCCAAACCAAAACGCAGTGTCAACCCCAAACCCAATCCTAATCCTACCTAGACCTTCCACCCGGCCAGAACCCAGGCCCCATTTCAATTTCTAATCCCAACCTCCATCCCAGGCCCTGGCAGCCTTATCCCCAAATTTAACCAGGCTGCAACTCATCTCAGCCACAATCTTGGGCCAGAACATGCCCAGTGAGAACTATAATTCCATTCCCAATTTTGAACCCAGCCCTTAGACCAATATCAGCCCAAATTCGACCTGGTTCCGGACTCGGTCCCAACTTCGGTACCAGCTACGGTAGTTCCTGAAGCCGAAGCCCTGCCCTCGAAGGCTGGGCTCCTTTGGCATTCAGCTGAAACCTCTCTTCCAAAAGCCCCGGCCCCGGGAGGTGCTATCCCATTGGTGGCTAGGCATAGCCCGCCCCCCCACCCCCAACTGACGGCTGCCCCTTGCAGAGAGTGGCTACGTGCATTTGCTGGAGGAGCTGGACGCTGTACAATTTGCAGAGCTGCACCGGAGCCGGACACTGCAGGTGGTGTTCGAAGCCTACCCGCCACCCACTGTCATGTGGCTCAAGGACAACCATACTCTGGGCGACTCCAGCGCCGGCGAGATCGCCCTGTCTACGCGCAATGTGTCGGAGACTCGGTGAGCAGCCGCCTGCCCATTCCATTCTTGAAATTATTCTCTGCAGTCGCCAGGCAGCCCACAGCCTTCAGCTTCTTGACAGACGTAGGCCCATCTTTCATGAGAGCCTACTACCTGCCAGACTCCCTGCCAGGTGCTGTGCCAGGCCCTGGGGATGCTGCAGAGAACAGAACACACAGTTCTATGCCTCCTAGAGTTTCCTGTCTAGTGGGAACAACAGACACTGGTCAGATGATCACCGAGATGTTTAGTTGTCCTTGTGATGGGTGGAGCCGGAAGGCAGCAGAGGAGAAAATGGCGGGATGATTGGGGAAGAGGGTGCCAGGCAGGCCACTGCCACCTATGCACAGGCGGTAGCCCTGAGGCTGGCGATGAGCAGGATGACCTGAGTACGCTGTGTTAGGATAAAGCAGTGTGAGGCCTTCCTGGAGGAGATGTGGAGGAGAGGGAAATGGTGCTTTCCCTTCGCCCCGCCCCCATCCCTCCTAACCTTCCTTCTTGGCTCAATAGAGCTGCCTGTGGGTGGGGGATTCAGGAGACTAAGCCTATGGGTGTGAGTCTGGGGTCTGTTACTGACACATGTGTGACCTTGGCAAGCCCCTTCCCTTCCGGGGGCCTTATTTTTCCTGTCTGTACAAGGAGGGGGGGCGGCTTTAAGAGTTCTTCCAGCTTTGACAGCTGGGTCTCCTGGCCTGGCCTACTCCCCAGGTACGTGTCAGAACTGACATTGGTGCGGGTGAAGGTGGCTGAGGCTGGTCACTACACCATGAGGGCCTTCCATGAGGACGCTGAGGCCCAACTCTCCTTCCAGCTGCAAATTAACGGTGAGGGGCCCTTTGCCCAGCTTTCTTTCCCGGCTCTCCCACCCCCATTCCTTCTCCCTTCCTACACTGTCCACTCGCCCATAGGAGGAGCAGGGGAAGGAGCCGGGGACTCAGGAGAGACTGGGTTTTAGGCTGAGTACCAACACTGACCCACTGCTGTGTGCCTGCCCCTTCTCTGGGCCTCAGTTTCCCCAGCTGTACACATTGGGCTAGAGTAGTGTTTCCAAAACCTCAGGCCTTCATGTGCCAATGCCATGATTTTTCCTTCTTGCATATACTATACTACTAATTAAATAGATACTTATGGAGCAAGTACAGCACGCGAGGCTGTTCATGGTTCTTGAGGCCCTGCTTTTGTGCAGCTTGCGTTCTAGTGGGGGAAGACAAACATTCAACAACAGGGGTTAAAAACCCCAGCAAAGTATGTAGAAGGTTAGAAGGTAACGAGTGCTGTTTAGGGGGTGAAGTGGGGGGTAGGAAGCTGGGCGGGGAGGATTGAGAGTTCCGGGGGCAGGGACAGTGAGGGTTGTACTTTTAAATGGCAGTGATCAGGGTTGGCCTCACTGAGAAGACAGTTGCCTGAAGACTTGAAGACAGTGAGGGCCTTACCCAAGCGGCTCTCTGGGGGAAAGAGCATCCCAGGCAGTGCAAAGACGAGAGCAATGGCAGAAAGGCCTGAGTGGCCAGAACAGAGCGACAGGGAGAGTGGTGGGAAATGAGGCCAGAGCTGGGTCCGGGCAGTTAGGGAGTGGGGAGCAGGCGGATCAGGTCCTTGTGTGCTCTTGGATGGACTTGGGCTTTTACGGGGACTGAAATGAAGAGCCGTCACAGGGTTGCGAGCAGAGAAATGACACGATGGTGACTTAATGTTTTGTTAATCGGCTTTCTAAAAATAAAATTATTTTGAAAGAGAATTTAACCTCTCAATTGTAGATGGAAAATCAGCGTCACATGTCATAAATATAACTCAGTGACAACAAAACAACGCAATTAAACTCGAGCTCCATGCTCTTGCCTTCCCAGGATTCTGCTACTGAGGCCTGCTCTCTTTGTTAAAGGGCAGATTAGCAAGTATCAGAGAAGTGTTAAAGACAGACTAGCACCCTACTGAGGCTTTTCCTTTGAAGTACCCAGAAGGGGAATCCGCCAGTTTTCACACAGTGATTCCTGGTATTTAAGGTTCACCTGCAGCCTGTAGCTCCCCTCCCCCCAGGGGAGACTCTAGGCCGGGTCCTCCTGGAGGGCCTTTCTCACTGTTCTGACCTTCCCACCTCTTGGCCCTATGCCTTCTCTATGCAGTGCCTGCCCGGGTGCTGGAGCTGAGCGAGAGCCACCCTGCCAACGGGGAGCAGACAGTCCGCTGTCGTGGCCGGGGCATGCCCCAGCCACACCTCACCTGGTCTACCTGCGGTGACCTCAAAAGGTGAGCAAAAAACCCTGGCTTCAGTCTCCCAGAGTACCCACAGCTGTCTGGAACGACCCATTGAAGGTCATCTAGTCCAGCCCCTTCTTCTGGGCACATTGTTCCAGGCTTGAGCCACATTCTAGAGCAGCAATCTCTAACCTTTTGGCAACAGGGACCTGTGCTCCTATGAAAATCTAATGCCTGAGGTGGAGCTGAGGCAGTGATGCTAGCGCTGGGGCGCAGCTACAGATACAAAGCTTCACTTGCTCACCTGCCGCTCACCTCATTTTGTGCGGCCTGCTCCTAAAAAGCCACGGACCAGTACCTGTCTGCAGCCCAGAGGTTGGGGACCCCTGTTCTAGAATATATGGCTTCTTGGAGATGCTTTGCATGGCCTAAATTGACCCTTTTCCTTACCTTGACTCTGAGGGTCAAAAGAAGGGAGTGGTTTTTGCGTATCAAGCTTCTCTGTTCTGGGGTAGGAGCGCCCCCTGATGGTCGGTTGTGGGACCACAGGAGGAATCAGCTCAAGACCAGGCGGTGGGAAGTAGCAGACTACACGCTCCTGGCCTTTGTCCACCACAACGCTGTGGCAATGCTTGCTTTTGGTCTCAGTTTCCCCGCAAGCAGAAGGCAGGGACTGGAAGTTGACCTGGCGGGCTCTACCGGCAGGTGTCCGCGTGAGCTGTCACCCACGCCACTGGGGAACAGTTCCGAGGAGAGCCAGCTGGAGACAAACGTAACGTACTGGGCAGAGGAGCAGGAGTTTGAGGTGGTGAGCATGCTGCGCCTGAGCCATGTGGATCAGCCGCTGTCTGTGCGCTGCACGCTGCGCAACCTGCTGGGCCATGACGTGCAGGAAGTCACCCTGGTGCCACAGTGTGAGTCACCCAGCCTCAGCGGCCCCCGATGACCTCACCCCCACCTAGATCTTGACGTACTTGTGACTGCCTGTGCACACACAGCAGGCCAGAGTCAGCATGTCACGGACACTCAGAAGCACTGTGAAACCCACCAGAGCATGTTCCTATGCACTTATACAACAACACAATATTGGCACATGTGTACATCCACAAGTATATGTCTATAAACCATGGCTATGAATAGCGTTTTCTCCCTATACCTAGTGTGTGTACGCTCTGTGTATGTTGTAAGCCATGTACATGAGCATCCCTGATCCTTGGACACGGTGCAACCCTCCCAATGTAGATTTGTAAACCATATAATGAAGAATGCACCATCCCCAGATACATGTGTAAGGCTGGAATGTATGTCTGTATGCATGTCTATGTGGGTACACAATCCCCATAACAGTGTATAAACGATGCATGTACAATTCCTGTGCATGTGTGAAAACTGGCATAGTGCATGTCTGTAAGCATGAGGAAGAGAGGTGAAGCACAGCCCAGCTGCCAGGAACTTGCATCTAATCTACAGCTATGGTAGACTGACTCCTGCAAGGGCTGGAAGAATATGGAGGCTGATAGAAATCTGAGCTGGGGCTAGTTACTGAAGGGCGTGGAGGGTATTTATGGGAGAGGCTAAGTGTGTGGCCCAGAGGGAGAGGCTGAGGGTCTGACATCATAGACTGTGGCAGGGGGTTGGGGCAGGGGGTTGAAGGAGGGTTTCTGTTCTGGGCAGGATGGGCAGAGAGGGATTTGTGGTACCAGAGGTGGGTGAGGGGAGAGCAACTGCCAAGTGCCCTGTTGTCTTATGACCAGGTCTTGTCTCTGCCTCTAGCCTCGCCCTTCAAGGTGGTGGTGATCTCAGCCATCTTGGCCTTGGTAGTCCTCACAATCATCTCTTTCTTCATCCTCATTATGCTCTGGCAGAAGGTAAGCCCACACTTACCTAATGTGTACAGACTAGCACAGATTGTTTTGTATGAACTACCTCTACCCCCGCCCCCCACCCCACCTGCTGTCCTTGAATCCTGCAGGATCTGGCCACGTCTGGGGCCCAGCACAGAACTCAGGTGTGAAATGACATAGAATGGTGCTGGGTGTCTGAGCTGAGCTGCCTCCATCCCCAGCAGCCTGGCCCAACATGGACCTGGTCCAGGCCATCAGGGTGTCCTGTCCCTGCTGTCCCCCTGTCCGGGTTTTGCTCAGACATCATTCCTGCCCATCCCAGCCATCCATGGGGCACGAAACCTTTGGGGTAGACCCCAAATCCTGGGCCCAGGATTCTTCCAACTCTTACCCACAGAGACTTTAAGATTCTACTAAACTGCATTCTAATCCTGTTAATCTGTAATTTCCATGTTCTGTTCTGAGATTTCACTGTTCTATGCTTCAAATATAATACGATTTCTGCATTAGGATTGCAGTGCCCCATAGTCTATCTTTCTAAAATTCCAATGCTGTGATTTCAACATTCTAGGGATTCAATATCCTACAGTTACATTTTTTCCTGAGATTTCTGCTGTGACTACCCTAGCATGCAGAGGGGCTGTCCACATCTGTCAGAGTACTCCTGCTTTGTGTCACTTTCTGACGCTACCTGCTCTTCTACTCCCATCTCTTCTCCAGAAGCAGCTGAGGCTCTAGGAGAAGCTGGTGAGGAGGTTCTAATCAGCTGGGTTTCAGCTGTCAGCTCCTCTTCAGGCACTTTTTAGCTGGAACCGCTTGGCATCTGTTACCCCTGAGCCCATGCAGGCCTTGAGTCTATGGATAACTTGCCTTGTGACTTCAGCTATGCCCCTGCCCCTCTCCGAGCCTCCGGGTCTCCTGGCCCCTCTGTCCCATAAGAAGCTACACCTAGTGAGCCTCAAGGCCCATACCCCCTCTGACGACCCATTCCTGGTCTCGGTCCTGCAGAAGCCCCGCTATGAGATCCGATGGAAGGTGATTGAATCCGTGAGCTCGGATGGCCATGAGTACATCTATGTGGACCCTATGCAGCTGCCCTATGACTCCACCTGGGAGCTACCACGGGACCAGCTTGTGCTTGGTCAGTCCAAGGAGGCCTCATGTGGCCGTGTGGGGACTTGAAGTGTATAGGAAGACTGAGGTCTGGTCCCAGCCTTGCCATGACTAGCTTTGAGACCTAGTGCCGATGTCTTGCCTTCTTTGGCCCTCAGTCTCCCCTTCTGTGCAATGGGGACAAGATGATCCCCCAGGGACCGTCCAGCATTGAGGTCCTGTGATCCCATGACTGTGAGATGGGACCCCTTCATGGTAAGAGAGGAAGTATTAATTGAGGACGGGCTGAGCACCAAGCCTATGCTTAGTCTAGGTGGGAGGCCGAGGGGTACGGAGGGGCTGTGCCCCCGTCTGGGGAGGGAGGAAGGCTTCCAGGGACTAAGATGGCCCAGAAAGCAGGTAAGACAGAAATGAGACACCAGGAAGGACTGTGAAGCACTGTGAGTTTTGGAGCCTCCTCTGGTGGAACACCTTAAGTGCAGGGTGGTCGAGGGATATCTATGTAGGTTGACCTCAGAGGGAGTGGGGCTGCAGCTTCCTGGCGGCCCAGGAGCTCAGGGATCATCTCTACTGCAGGGCGCACCCTCGGTTCCGGGGCCTTTGGGCAGGTGGTGGAAGCCACAGCTCATGGCCTGAGCCATTCTCAGGCCACAATGAAAGTGGCTGTCAAGATGCTGAAATGTGAGTCTTGGGAACCCCACTCCCAACCTCTCTCCTGCCCCCTCCCTACACACTCAGGCACTCCCAGAGCAGGCCAGGGCTGATTCGAATTCGCTGGTCACACTGCAGCCAGCACGGCGCCTGGTTCTGTTTTGGGAGAGAGGCTTCCTCACCCTGCGCCCTCCTCTGGCAGCCTCCTTCCTCCCTTTCCTCCCTCTGCTCTCTGCTTTCCTCCCATCATCTTTCCCCTCCCCCTGCATGTAGGTCCTTACTACCCTTGGCCACCTGGGTCTTATAGCACAGACTGGAGCAGAAGAGCCAGAACAGGCTTTAGTGAGGACTTCGTGGGGCCTCAGTGATGGAGCCTGAGTCCCCTCCTCTATCCCGTAGCCACTGCCCGCAGCAGTGAGAAGCAAGCCCTTATGTCGGAGCTGAAGATCATGAGTCACCTCGGGCCCCACCTGAACGTGGTCAACCTGCTTGGGGCTTGCACCAAAGGAGGTACAATCCTACTTGCCCAGAGGATTCTGGGAAATGCCAGAGGCCAGGGCCTAGCCCCTCTCCACCCCGTCCTCAATCCAGAGACAGCTAGATACTCCAGCTGGGGTGTCTGCGCCCATCCTGTCCAGCATTTTCACTCATTCACAGAGCCAGATGGGCTTGGGGTTTAGAAACTCACAGAATCACAGCACCACCAAGGACTCTTCAGGTTACTAGACCCAGCAGTTCTCAAATCAAGGGGTCCTCAGACATTTAAAAATTCTCACAATAGATTTTCACTACTGTTATAAATGACAGCTTATGCAACACTGAGATCAATTATATCGCCACCACCGGAGGCAACCAGTCTGCTAACTGAGAGCTGCCTCGATTCAGATCATAGAGTAAAGTCTGTCGGGCCAAGTGTGTTTATCTGAAGGTCCGATTGCAAGTTAAGCCACACACACACACACACACACACACACACACACACACACACACACAAATGTTATTGCCATTTGCAGCTGCTTGTTGTGAGGTTTGGGATTTTCCTCAGTATTGTGCAACCAAAACCAAATACAGAAGTACATTGCATGCATAGGCTAATTTATGCCTGCGATGATCGCCCATTTCACAATTTTTGTTTTCATTGCTATCTTCAAATTCTCACTGATTGACTTTAAGTAGATTTATTTTATTTGAATTTAAACAGTAACCTGAAATAAAGAGTTGCCTCTATTTATATACTGGGCTCCAAAACAAGCTTTATTTTGAAAAACGTATCGATAGCAGCTAACACTGTGTGCTTGCTATGTGCCAAGCACTGAGCTGAGCCGACAAAGACATTATCCCATGAACACTCACGAGAGCCCTTCAAAGTGGGTATTTATTAGCCCCATTTGACAGATGGGGAAAGTAAGGCTCAGGGAGATTAAGTATCTTGCTCATGGTCACAGAGGCAGGGAAAGAATCTGCGTTTGCCTGGCGTTACAGCCTCTTCGCCATCATACCAAGCTGATTCTCTCACGCGTCGTCTGTCATTAGCCTCATGGGCCTGATGGGAACCCTGAGGCCTCCCTGAGGGCTCTCCCTGGGCCTCTTCCTCCACAGGGCCCATCTACATCATCACTGAGTACTGCCGCTACGGCGACCTGGTGGACTACCTGCACCGCAACAAGCATACCTTCCTGCAGCACTGCTCCGACAAGGGCCGCCGGGCCAGCGCCGAGCTCTACAGCAACGCACTGCCTGTTGGGCTCCCCCTGCCCAGGTATGGGGATGGAGGCAGGGAGCTGAATCTTTTGGGAGCCGTGAGGAGCATCTGCTTACTCCCTCCTTGTCCAGGACAGGAAGCTGAGGCTAAGGCGAGTAGAGTCGCTCCTGGAGCCAGGGCTGTTCCACAAGTCAGTCCAAGACCCAGGCCTCAGCCACCCCACAGGAAGGCATGACCATAATGGCGATGATAGTGATGGGGTCGGCTGACTCCTACTGGCTGTCTGCAGTGTGTCAGGCCCTGTGCTAAGCACTCTTCAGACGTGACCCCTTGACCCCTCATAGGGTCCTTGTGTCGAGACACTGTGATACTGTCCTAGCCTTCCACAGTGAGCACTTGGAGCTCTCCTGTCCCAGGCCTGACTCCATGTTCTGCTCCTCACTGCAGCTCCCACTCCCTCTGCACAGCTGTCTCTCCAGTGCCCTGAGGCCACTGCAACCCCCTCTACTTCTTTTCCAAATATAACGTCTTAATTCTTTTGCTCATTACAAAAGCAATATGTGTTTATTGCAGAGACAAGAGTAACTTCAGAAAAACATTAAGAGACAGCAAAACTCATCCCTGTCCTCCCTAACATTTTGAGTGATTTCCTTCCAGTCTTTTTTCTGCTCGTAGGGACGCGTTTCTATGGTATGTGGGGGAGTTGATGCTACAAGCAGAGGCATGAGGGCAATTCATTGCCCACTCTGGGTTGTGGCCGGGCACTCGTAGGGCAGCGTGGCCGGATGGCACCATAAAGGCCACAGCAAGATGCCTTGGTACACACCCTTCTTGTGACCCTTGTCTTGGGGTGTTGTAATTGCCCCTGGGTCTGAGCTCTTTAAGACACACACTGGGTCTTATGTCATCTTGGCAGCCCCAGGACCCAGCTCAGGGCCCCACGGGTTGATTGAAAGGGCTTTCTTTATGGTAATTCACATGACAGTGGCAGGCTGGGGGAGGATGAGGGGGAATGAAAGAGAGAAGAAAAACATGAGTGACAAGGCCTTGTGGGCCCCAGGAGTAAACGGAGGGGCAGGAGCGGGGAGAGAAGGGGAAACCAGTGGCCTCAACTTCTGCAATGATTCTCTCATGCTCAGCCATATGTCCCTGCCTGGGGAGAGTGATGGTGGCTACATGGACATGAGCAAGGATGAGTCGGTGGACTACGTGCCCATGCTGGACATGAAAGGGGACATCAAGTATGCAGACATCGAGTCCTCTAACTACATGGCTCCTTATGATAACTACGTTCCCTCCGGTGGGTGCACGCGGTGACCGTACACCTGTATGGCCCTCATACCTGTGCAGCGACGCATTCTTTTCAAAGCCTTTCACATACCCAGCCTAGCAACAGCCCTGAGAGGAAGGTGGCCTTGTGCCCAGTTCATAGATGGAGAAACTGAGTGCAGCCATTTGCCCAAAGCTGTTGTGTATGTGGGGGGGGGTGCCCAAGATGAACCCCTGTTTCTGGGTCCAGAGATATGCACACAGCTCACAGGGAGGGGAAGCAGTAGGGTGGGGTGGGGGGAGTACCTAGCCTCCTGGGTCTTGGGGGAGAGAAGTCTGCTCGGAGAGGGCCCCAGGCTGATCTAGTGTCCTCCAAAAAGCGGGCAGGCCAGGCTGAGCAAAGGTAGCCCAGGGCTAATGCTGAAAGTTTTTCTGGACGATGAAGGTTCTGATAAAGTGGGAGAGATTTAGGTTAGATATTTGGAAATCGTTCTTCCTTTTGGGGAAGACTTAGAGGATCAGTAGCCCCCTGTCCTGGACGTTCATCCAAAGAGCAGAGGTTCTGTGGGCCATGGGAAGACACAAGACGGTGGGTGACCCTCTACTCTCCCCTAGCTCCTGAGAGGACCTGTCGAGCAACTTTGATCAATGAATCCCCAGTGCTCAGCTACACGGATCTTGTGGGCTTCAGCTATCAGGTGGCCAATGGCATGGAGTTCCTGGCCTCCAAGAATGTACGTGTGGTCGCAGTGGGTACATCCAGGTCATGGGAGGTGGGTCACCCAGCCAGCCACGGTCCTCCAAGTACACAGACCTACATGGAAGCTACGTCCCCTCTGGTGGGCGAGGACAGCGAATGCCCTCACACCGTGTGCCTCTCTCACCCGTGTGGCCCCTCACACCTAGACAGCGATGCATTGTTTCTCAAAGCACTTGAGACAGAGGGTCTTTCTCCATAATTGCCCCCAAGGCCTCAGCTCCCACCCTCTCCCGCTCTTCTCCACCCAGTGTGTCCACCGAGACCTGGCAGCCAGGAATGTGCTCATCTGCGAGGGCAAACTGGTCAAGATCTGTGACTTCGGCCTGGCTCGTGACATCATGAGGGATTCTAACTACATCTCCAAAGGCAGCGTGAGTACCTTCTCCCACCCTGTGTGCCTCTGACCCTCCTGGTCAGCATGGCTTTGGCTCATAGATCAGGGCAGGGCTCCTCATGGTCTGACCTGCCCAGCAGTGACAGGCTCTGCCTGCCAAGCCATGAGTGCAGGGACGGGAAAGGTGCCACCACTGTGCATGGGGTTTGAGGGGGCAAAGATGATGAGGCTTGGGGTGGGCTGGGGGCTCAGATTTGCTGGTCATGGCAGGGAGCAAGGGACCAGCTGTCATGGGTCTTGGGGAGTTTGGAGAGGGAGCAAGCCAAATGTGTTGTCCTAGCTGTGGCAGGGGTTAGAGGAAGAAGCCTAGGTGACAGCTTAAGGCAGACAAATAGGTGATGGGCAGTATTTGGTTAAAATATGACCATCCTGCCTCCCACTCATGTCCCCAGAACCCCAGAGCTAGATGGCCACTAGGCCACAGAGATCTAAAGCGGCTAGGATGAGAGCTGGGTAGCACCTTGGCCATGTCCCTGGTTCCCATTCCCCTCTGCCGGCTCAGCCAGGGATCTCTCCTGGGGTCAGGAAGGGAAGTCTGTTCCATGAAGAGCCTCAGACCCTGAAGCTACTATGTCCCCAGCTTGTGGGGAAATACTCGGCCTCCTGATCCTCTGGCCAGTACTGGGATCGGTGTAGGAATTGTGTGCCAGCAGAGATAGGCCCTCAGGGACGAGGGAATGAGAAAGGGCTGGGGATGGGACCTGCCAGGCCTCCTTCCCACACCCAGGTGCAGCGTGGGGCTCCGCCCCTCCTTGCACTCAGGCCATCCTTGGCCTCCCACAGACCTTCCTGCCCCTGAAGTGGATGGCCCCCGAGAGCATCTTCAACAGCCTCTACACCACCCTGAGTGACGTTTGGTCCTTTGGGATCCTACTCTGGGAGATCTTCACCCTGGGTAATGCTTTCTTCTCCCATAGCCCTCAGCGGCACGGCGGGGTAGTCACCCTGACCACGCATACTTCCAGCCTGGTCAGGGCCGTGAACAGACTCTGGGGTATGGCTTGGGGCTCCGGTTCAAGTCCCAGCTCTGCTGCTTCTACACTGCTGTGTGACCTTGGCAAGTCTCTTGCCCTCTCTGGGTCTCTTGACCGCCCCATCTGAGTATCAAAGGGTTTGGGCAGTGACATCAAAGAGGCTGCTTGGCTCTGGTATTCTCTGGTCCTCTGATCTGGGGAAGGTTGCAATTTGTCCAGAACCATGAAGGAGCCCACATTCCCTAATTCCAAGGCCCCTTCGCCCATGCGAGGGCTTCTGTGCCTCTTCCTGTTCCGCGGAAGAGGGTTCCTGCCGGTTTTTTTTTCAACACCCCTGAGCCTGTGTATCTCTTCTCTTGTCTTTGCTCCCCAACAGGTGGCACCCCTTATCCAGAGCTGCCCATGAACGAGCAGTTCTATAATGCCATCAAACGGGGTTACCGCATGGCCCAGCCTGCTCATGCCTCCGACGAGATGTGAGTGGCACATTTGGGAGGAATTTTCGGTGCAAACGATAAATATCCAACGTCACTAGACTAAGTCAAAAATAGATTTATTAGTTCAGAGATCTAGTAAAATCTAGGCGTGTGGACGACCTCATCATCAATCTCTCCTTCTTACTCTGGGCTCTGCTTTCCTCTGTTCCAACCTCGAATTCAGGCTGGCGCTACTCAGTGACTATGTCCTAGCTGCTTTCAGCATAGCTCCAGCAGAAGGCCCAGAGCTGACTGTCACAGTTTCAGTTGGGGTCACATGCCCGTCCAGTCAGTACCAGCCACTGAGCTGAGGGGATGAAAACTACCAGCCAGACCTGGGTTCTGTACTCACCAAGATGTGGCCAACCCCGTGGAACCACTGAACTGGGGGTGGAGGGAGGGCTCCCCAGGGAACACGCAGGTGTGGCAGTGGAGAAACGGCACCTATCCACCTCCCTTCTCCAAGTTCTTTCATTGCTCGCCTTGTTCCGGGGCGGCAGCCACCCTCCCTCTGCACCCTGTGTCGCGGACCCTGACCCTTGTGTCCCTCTTCAGCTACAAGATCATGCAGAAATGCTGGGAGGAGAAGTTTGAGATCCGGCCCCCTTTCTCCCAGCTGGTGCTGCTTCTCGAGAGACTGCTGGGTGAGGGTTACAAAAAGGTAGGTTGAGGCAGGGTGGGGATGGGTAATGGAAAGTTTTGGTCCAGAGGTCAGATACTGGGTACAAGGCTCTGTGTGACATGCTGGTATTTGGGGGACCACCGTTTATCCTCTTTGGGCCTCAGTTTCCCTGCTGGTACTAGTCAGGGATGGGTTGGAGCTACGAGTTTAGTTTACGTTAGCAGCACAGAGAGTTTTCAGATGAAATCTCACATGGCAGCTGATTGGTTTAAAGTGGGGGGAGGGAACCTATAGCCCCCTTTATCCTGCATCCTTCCTCATGCCTTCACGCCCATGCCAAATCTTGGGTCTCCTTCAGAGGTTTCAACTCCCCCAGGCTAGATGACCACTAAGTGCCTGACCCCCTGGGCCTCGTCCAGACTCAGAGGAGGCAAGTAAAGCCAGCAGGGCCTTAAAACCCTCCCCGCCCACAGCAGGAGCGGGAGTGAGGGGAAACCATCTCCTTCGGCACTGACACGGCCCTCTCCCCAGGCCTCCTCCTAACCCCACTCTCACCCAGGTCTGGTATGGCTCAGGGACCAGTGGGATGGAGTAGAGTTGACACCATTCAGGATTTAGGGATACTGAGATCTCACTGAAGGAAGCTGAGGCAGGATGGGAGCCTGCATCTATCTAGTCGGAAGGTGGGGAAGTGTTAGGGTCGCGGGTGCTGGTCCACTGACTGTCCCTTCCCTGGGTGGTTCTGAGATCGCCTTGTCTTGTGAGATGCCAGGTGGGAGGGTAGCTTAGCCATGTGGCTTTGGGTACCTGTCCTTCCTCTCTGAGCAACAGTTGTCCAATTTACATAAGGCACAAGGGGCTGGATCAGAATCTCACTGTCGGGTGATCCCTAAAGGCTTTTCTGATCTGATCTTCCCTGTTTCGCCGGCTCTCCTGGCCCCTTGGAGCAGAAGTACCAGCAGGTGGATGAGGAGTTTCTGAGGAGCGACCACCCAGCCGTCCTGCGGTCCCAGGCCCGCCTGCCTGGCTTCCATGGCCTGCGATCCCCCCTGCACACCAGCTCAGTCCTCTACACTGCCGTGCAGCCCAACGAGGGTGACAACGACTATATCATCCCCCTGCCTGACCCCAAACCTGAGGTTGCTGATGAGGGCCCACTGGAGGGTTCCCCTAGCCTTGCCAGGTAGCTAACTGCTGTGGCCTGGGGCATGCGAGAGAGAGAGAGAGAGAGAGAGAGAGCGCGAGAGAGCGAGAGAGCGAGAGAGCGAGAGAGCGAGATGTGTGTGTGTGTTGTGTGTGTGTGTCCCTGGCAGCAGGCTTGCCTTGGAAGTAGGTTACAGAAGGTGAGCACTCCTTCCTGTCAGGGACTAGAACTGAGAATTGAACTCACTTGATCTTTAACACCCTCAGGTGGAGAGGGCAGGCTGATAAGAGAGAGCATGGGATGGGTCTTATCTGCAATGTAGTTGTTTCCTTCAAAGGAGCCCCCATAGGCCATCTATACTCTCCTCTTTCTAGGCCCCGTCCTAGCCCTAAGGAGAAGAGGAAGGAAACCTAATTAGCATCCCTGGTACCCATGTGTTACTCTGGGTCATCGCTAGCTCCAGCCTGTGGTCTGTCCTTCAACACCATGCCCTGCGGGCCCCAGGGAGCCAGCATGGTTAGAGGAGGCAGAGGTACCTACAGGAGTTCGGGTCAGAATTCAGCCCGGGAAGGAGATAGATGCGTGCTATTCTGTGCCTTGGGATGTGGTGAAGTTAGAGTGTGGGGTCGACTTTGGCGGAAGGCCCAGCTGTTGCCTGGACTTGATGTTCAGACAGAGTCCTCCCTCAGTTGGAGAGAAGGGCTCCCCATAAGGCCAAACCCTCCCCGCCAAAAAACAAGACCCACCCCATGGTGAAGTGGCAGGAGCTCCATCTGGGTTCCAACTCCAGGCACCTTCTCTCTCTGTGTGCTGGGAGCACACACGGGACTCAGAAAGCTCCCCAAAGGCCCTCCCACCCCATTTAAGCAGCTAATATTCCAAGGCTCCAGGTAGACACCGTGCAGAGGAATTAAGCTGGCTCTCTTTTGTGCCCTTGGACAAGTTGTTTCCCGTATCTGAACTTCAGTCTCTCGATGTATAAAATAAAAACAATAAGAGCACTTCGGTTTGGAGGTTGTTGTGAGGATTCGATGGCATAGTGTGCCTTCAGGAGGGCAGGAGCTGGAGACACTGGTGGGTGAGGAATAAGCTGGATCCGTTGTGAAGTGCCAGCTCCTACACTTATCCGCTGTGTGGTATAGGACAGTGACGTAACCTCTCTGAGCGGCACTTTCCCCACTGTGCCTGCCTTGCATAGTCTTTACGAGGATTAAATGAGCTGAAGTGTGTAAGGCACGTGGCACAAGTTCGGACACATCGAAAGCTCTTGATTAATGCTGTTATTTTACTGTGGTTCCCTCCCAGCCTCTCACTCACCTGCCTTCTCCCTCTAGCTCCACCCTGAATGAAGTCAACACCTCCTCTACCATCTCCTGTGACAGCCCCCTGGAACCCCAAGAGGAACCAGAACCAGAGCCCCAGCCTGAGCCCCAGGTGGAACCGGAGCTGGAGCCAGGGCCGGAGCTGGAGCAGGAGTGGCCACCAGATTCAAGCTGCCCTGGGCCTCGGGCCGAGGCAGAGGAGAGCTTCCTGTAGGGGGCTGGCCCCCACCCTGCCCTGCCCGAACTGAAGCTCCCCCTGACCTCCCAGCACCCTGCACCCCCTGGCCTGGCCTGGCCTTCCATCAACAAGGCTGAGCCCATCAGCTGTCCCCTTCTGGAAAGCTTTGGTCCCTGGCATGTTGCACCCCAACCCCTGGGGCTGGCTTAGGAGGCAGGAGGACTGCAGGGGCCATGACCAGCCCTCTGCCTCTAGGGAGGCCATGTGACTATGAGCCCAGGTTCCCCCAAAGGACTCAGTTTCTCCATCTGTAAGATGGGAAAGTTGGAGTTGGTGACCCACAGTCTGGGATTCTTCTGGCTGACAGGTGGGGAGGTTGGAATCCATGGGGAGATTCTCAAGGTTCATAAGGTGGTAAATGAACTTTTTTCTGTTCAGCAAACTACCCCTCAAGGAGCTGCAGCTCTCTCCTACTTCTGTCTGCCCAAGAGTTGGAGAAGGGACCCTGGCATCCCTGGCTCCTGGCTGAGCTGGGGCCTGGCCTTGGACAGTGTCGCCTCATCCGGAAGCCTTCTCCCCTCGATGCCAGTCTTTGCTTTCCCAGGCCCAAGCTGGTCTGGGGCCATCCATGCTTAATTAGTGCTAGGGGCTGAGCCAAGTCGAGGACATTCTGGCCTATAGCCCCTGCCTCAGGCACTCGGGGCACACCTGCCCATAAAAAGTGCCTGTGCCTGTGTCTTCCTGGCCCTGTGAGTCCTGGGACCTTTCTCCTCATCACTGCGAGTCTTATCCTATCCACCAGAGTGTCCAGGGCCAGGTGGGCCCATGCCCTGATGAGTGTGTTGACATGTCCGTGAACAGTGGCCACGTGTGTGGACCAGTATGTGGCCCTTCTGTGCTCTGGACCTTCTAAGAGACCTCGCAGGATTCCCTGGCCCGATTTCTGGGCCTGTTTTCTCTGTTGAAGTATGAGCAAGTTGGACTCACTGACTTTTGGTTCCCCTCCAGCACTAACATTCTAGAATATTCTAAGGGTTGTACACTTGCCCAGATGAAGCCAAACCTCCATCCATCCTGGGGGTCAACTGGGTCTGGGGAGATTCCAGACCACATACTCTAGGCATTCAGGAACCATGCCCCTTCCCCAGGCCCCCGGCAAGTCCCCAAAGGCCAGCTGCCGAGGCCTTGACTCGGAGTGACAGCCAGTGTCCTGAAAAGCCCTCAGCAGCTGCCCCAGGGACATGGGAAGATCACAGGACACCTTTCAGTACCCACAATGACCCCTGGAGCTACCCTGGGCCAAGAAGGCAGAGAGGGCAAATCAGGCCACCTGACATAGTCCCCCACTCCAGCACCTGTTCTCCAAGTCTGTCTCGAAGACACAATGGACAGCGAGAGCCCCTGGGGAGCCCTGGAAAGGACAGGAAGCCTTGGATGGGGAACCTGAGGAAGGGGTACAAGAGGTGGGTGCCCTGAAGACTGCCTTCTCACCTGCCAGCTGCCTCATCCTGAGGCAGCACCCATGGGGTCTGGCTTTGTCACTGCCCAGGTCCACTCACCTCACTGTCTCTGCCAGCCACACTCTAGCCCAGTGGGCACTGAAGTGCCAGGGGAATGAGGGCTGTGGCCAAGACCTCTGGCGGGGGAGGGTTGGAAAGGGTGCTGGTTGGCACCTCCCTGCCCCGGGGCCCGCAAAGCCTGGTGGAGGAGAAGGAGTGGGTTCTCGCTACGGTACCAAAGATGTAATCGCCTAGGTTTACAAGTATTTTTAGGACTCACATTAACTCACATTTATACAACAGAAGTGCTATTTTGTATGCCATCAAAATTTCCTATCCGTATACTTTTTTTTTTTTTTTTTAAGGGAAAGATTTGAATATTAAACCTGGTGCTTCTCACTCATGGACGTCGTGGTCTCACGGGTCTGAGTCCTCGTGCCTGGGAGGTGGTGGGAGTGGGGTAGAGATGATGAGGTCCTTTCTGCTCTGAGTCTGGTTTCCCTCTGTAAGATGGGGGTTTTCACCCCCTTGCTAGTAGCTGGGTGACCTGGACACCGGGCCTCAGTTTTCTCAGTTGGGACGTGAGAAGACTCTTCTGGCTCTGCAGGGTCTGGCCCCAGGTCAGGCAGAACTGTTTACAGGCTTGTGCTAAGGAGCATGAGCCCCTCCTGCTGCCCCTGCCGCACCCCACTCCACCCTACCATGTGCTTTGGCTTTGGCTCTTAAGCTGACCCTGCCTGCCTTACCCCCGCTCTGTGCCTACGGGCCAGATTGAAGCTGGTGTGGCTTGTGAGAGGCGTCTACTAAAGCCCAGACTCCAGGCCCCGGTGAGTAGTGGTCGGGTCCCAGGTAGGAACAGGGCGTACGGAGCACCCAGGAAGGCAGAGAGCTGGAAAAAGTGGAGAGAGAGGGTGAAAGAGAAGAAGAAAAGAGGAAGGTGTGGGGTGTGCGGCCGGCGCGAGGCCACGGAAGGAACGGGGCCTGGCTGTGGCCCTGAGGGCAGTCTCGACAGGCTGGGCAGGGGATTGCAGACCTGGCAGGCCCACCTTCTGGCTGCAGCAGCTCAGTGGTGTGGGGCTGGTGTGGGCCAGGCATCTTGGTGCTTGCTTGTTAGCTCGGTACTGGCCATAGGCTCCACTGCCCAGCCCAGGCCTGGGAGACCCTGACAGCAGCACGAGGCCAAGGGCCATAGAGCTACCAGGGGCAGGGGGCCAAGGGAAGAGGTCCGAGACCCAGGCTGGAGCTTCCTGGAAGGGGTCACCTGAAGTGGAACCAGTTTCCAGCCTGAGATCTGTCATACCTCACTGTGTGACCTTGGCCATCCCTTGCTCTCTCTGAGCTGGGGAAGGGGCATCTTGGTTTGTTTCTGGGTGAGAGGCACCTTCTTTGGAAGCCGCAGACCTCCCTGGACTGCCTCCAGGAGTCTGGGGCTGTGGCTGCCAGTGGGGAGAGGAATGGAGACGTGGGGCTCTGACTCATAGGCCTAGCCGCCAGCTCAGGAGCAGCTGAGCCATGCCAGGGGAAGCCCCGCTCGCTGCAGGGCCCCTCCTCGCCAAGCCGCCAAGCCCACCCTCCCGGGGTCCTGGCTTCAGAGCCCATGAACCCTTCTCTCCTGGCTGTGGAAGAAGATGAATGAGCCAATACTCAGATCTGCCCTGTAAAGAGAATAAACAACCACATTCCAGATGGGGATTATCCTCACTCATGGGAAAAGCCTCCTTCTGGAGGTCAGGAGACCTTGGCTGCCTCCACCTCAGGCCTGCTGCACGTCGGACCCTGCGTGAATCATACCACAGCAGGCCTCGATTTTCTTGGCAGAGAATGGAGCTAATGATGCTATAAAGAGATAAAGGATTAGATAAAACGCTGAGGATCACTTACTGAGCAGTTACTATGTACCAAGGCTGTCCTGTTGCTTCACAAACATTTTCTCATTCGACCTTCACATCAACCCTATGAACCAGGTATCACGATTGTTCCCATGTTACAAAGGAGAAACCAGTTCAGGGAGGTTATGAAGTGACGTGCCCAAGGTTATCTAGTTGGTATGGCAGGGATGGCATCGGGGCCTGGGCCTGGCCAACTCCCAAGTCAGCACTCAGGGAGGTAAAGCACCCGCCAAGGCTGTAAGGCTGCAGAGTTGGGGAGACTGGGTCCCTAACCCCTGTCTGCTGACTCCAGAACTCTCTGGTGCTGTGTGTCCCCAAGGGAAAGCATAGGAAAGTGCCGGTAAGAGGAAAGACCTATGTGAATCTGAAAGCTAGATAAAAATAATTTGAAAAGTTGGGTGGAGAGCTTGGACCTCACAGCCTCCTGTGCAGAGGGGTCCGGGGAGAGGGTAACTATAGGTCGGCCTCAGCTGGCTCCTGCCTCCCAACCTTGCCACTCAGTCAGGCTCCGGGATGCGTGAGCTGGAATTTTCCTCCCAGACAGATGAGCCACTCGGACGACACTATTCTTCCGCCACCCTATTCATAGCCAGGGGCTCGTTCCTGGAAAAAGAGGGAAAGACTAAAAGAAGCTATTGCCCCTGAGGCTCTGAACTTGAGCTGAGAGGAGCCCCACAACCCTCCATTAATGCGCTTTCTTCGATTTAGGGCGCTGTCTCCAAAAGGCCTCTTTTATTTTAGTTTCTTACTCATCTTCATAGTAATTAAAAGTTATTCATCTTCATAATGATTAAAAATTACTTTTGTAAAAGTATTTATGTAACTTTTGCCATCATTAGAAATATCTCTTACCAAAATACATGATACAGAAAGAGGAAGTCTTTGTGTATTTTGTATTTTAGGCTCCAGGAACATTTCAAATGCTTATCTTTTTTATTCGACAAATGTGTGCGTAGGAATTTATCTTATGGAAATTCTGTCCTCATTGTTAATCATTTAGTTATATTCTTCTAGGTCCCCTCCGTACACTCATACTAATATTTATATTTTGTAGTTATAACTATGTATACAGGTATATAATTATAATTTTAAACAAAACTACCACTGCTATTTTGCAACTTTTTGCTTTTAACTTAACAATACATGATGGACACACTCACAGTTCAGTGGTACCTGCAGATATTAATTCATTCACTTTGAGAGCTGCACATAATTTAAAAGAATGTCTGTGCCATAAAATATTTAACCAGTCCCATACCGATGGACGTTTAGTGTTTCAGAGTTATAAATTATGCTGCAATGGCCATTGTTTGCAAAGTACATTTATATTTGCATATTTATGTAAGCATCTTTTTCCATAGGATAAATACCTGGACACAGAGTTGCTGAGTAAAGAGGATAAATATTTAAAACATTACTGGATTCAAAAAGTTCCCTTAAAAAACACAAAACCATAGAATTTCTGGAAGGCTAAGAAAAGCAAACATAAAATGATGAACACAAAATAACTTAATTCTAGTTAGGCGCTCTGGCCTTCTGGAAGAAGTTTGGAGACTCTTCTGTTTGTTGGAAAAAAGCCACGAACTAGTAGTAAAAAGAAGTTAAAGACAGGAGTGCACCAAGCAGAGACTCTCTGGAGTGACCAGAGGGCTTCGAAGACTTGCAGAAGCAGAAGCTTTCCTGAAATGCAACTCCCACTTATGGGCTCCCAGCCCCCACCACCCAGAGGGGCCAACCCAGCATCCCCTCATGCCCTGGCTCTGCCCTGGTCCCTCACAGTTTAGAGAGTGTGGTCCCATGTGATGTTCACAATAACCTATGAGACAAGCCATGGGGAGATGAGTTTTAGATGAGGAAGCTGAGACTCAGAGCCATTAAGTGCGAGCCCAAGGTCATACCCAGGGAGGAGGCTCTTGCCTGCCAGGCTGGTGTCCTTGCTACTGTCTTGCTCAGGGAGTCTGTAAGTCCAGTTCCTGGACGCAGGGAAAGCAGGCTAGGCCCTGGAGTCAGGGTGCTGATGGCCCGTTCAGGGTGTGGCTCCTGAATTCTCTGGGGGGGGGCTCCCCCTTGGAGTGGGGTTCTGGGGCTTCTCTGGGGTGTGACGGATTCTCACAGCTCAGAATGCGATCTGCCATGGCTGTATCAGGGGCCTGGCTCATCTCAGGATCTGGCAGGACCTCAGGGACATCACAGGAGCCACACTGCCTCTTTGCGACCCCTCCCCCTAGCTTGGCCCCTGCCCCTCACCTTGGGCCCCCCTTGGCCTGCCTGCCCTTTCCAGTCACTCCCTTGGGGCTCTGCTCCTTCGAATAGGCTTGGGGGCAGTTCCATAGACTCTTTCTGGTTTGGGGTTTTATGAGTAATCACTGCAAGAAACAAAAAAAAATAAAAAAAAAATGTCACAAACACAAGGAAGTTAGAAAGCTTCTGTAAAATCACAGAATTCTCAGAGTGCTTGTTGCCCTTCTGAAGTGAGAAGATGGACGCTTCCATGCCTGAAAGTTTCTCTTGTTCATCACTGATCTCCCTGAAGCATATTATGACCTTGGCTCTCCTTTGCTCAAATATCTTCAATGGCTCCCCGTGTCCCAACAAACACAGTCCAGACTCCCTGGTGTGCTCTTCAAGGCCCTCCCTGACCTGATTCTGGCCTCTCCAGCTGCCTCTCCCACATCTGCCCTCCAAGGCCTGTCTACCCCGTGTGGGCCACAAGCTTGCCAACCTTTCAACAATGCACAAAGGTTCCCTTTCCTCCGTATTTTCCCCAACACTTGTTATCCTCGTCTTTGTGATAATAGCCATTCCTGACAGGTGTGAGGTGATATCTTATTGTGGTTTTTATTTGCATTTTCCTGATGATCAGAGATGTTGTACCTCTTGGCCATTTGTATATCTTCTTTGGAAATATGTCTATTTAGTTCCTCTGCTCATTTTTTAATTGGATTTTTTTTAAATTGAGTTGTATGAGTTCCTTATATATTTTGGATATTAACGCCTTATCCGATATATGATTTGCAAATATTTTCTCCCATTCTGTATGTTGCCTTTTCATTTTGTTGATCATTTATTTTGCTGTGCAGAAGCCCTACCTCTGCACCTCTGTTGATGCTGCCCAGCCCTCTACAGCCAAAGGGCAAACTCTTGCCCTAAACACCAGCCTAGCATAAAGCCACCCCCTCCAGGAAGTCTTCCTGATCTCTTGGCTGGAAGTGATTTCTCTTCCCAGTCCTTTGTGCCTCTCATGGGCTCTCATGTTTGTTTGACACCCTTAGCCCCTGGATGTCCTATGAGCTCTCTCACCTCCAGGCCTTTACCATGTGTCCTCCCTGAACCTCCCCCTCCAAATCCTTCTCAGCTTAGGCAGACTTTTCTTTGACTTCCCTCTTCAGTGCTCCCAGGACATCCTGCAACTCTCCCTATGTCCTGGCGCTGCCACCAGGCTGTGAGTTCCAGAAGGGAGGGATCATGCCTGCCATGTTCACCACTGTGTTTCTAGGGCCAAGCACAGAGTAAA